CTCAGAACTCAGCCAGACCAGCCGTGGTATAGTGAAAGGAATTTCCAATCCAAAGACTTTGACACGAATCCAGTACAGCCAACTATGAACTTCTGGCTTTGGCTGACTTCCAAATTCTTAGTGGGCCTCAGTCTCTGACCCTGTAAAATGGGAATCAACTAAAAGGGATCTATTAGGTGCTGCCATCAAGACCAGTTAGTCCTGCCTCCTCTCTCTCACAGTCCAGGAACTTATTGGAAATTGACCACTTTCTGGAAAGTGGTGTCCACCATCGCACGTTGAGTCCTTCTGTTCTCTACTCGGTGATCACCTCATCAGAACAAGTCCCTCCACACTCAGCCAGGCTCTGCTCTTTACCACAACTTCTCCACAGCAGGCTCTCGGACATCTGCAGCCAACAACCACATTGGCCTCCTTAGTTCTTCACGGCAAACGGGTAAGACTGGCTAAACCAGTTGCCACCGAGTTGATTCCGACTCCTAGTGACCAGATGTGTGGCAGAGTAGAACTGCTATTTTTAGGGTTGTAAGGAGCTCTGGTAGCGTAGTGGTTACGAATCAGGCTGTGAACTGCAAGGTCAGCAGTTCGAAACTATCAGCTGTTCCGCAGGAGAAAGATTGAGGCTTTCTACTACGTAAAGATTTACAGCCTCAGAAACCCTGTACAGGGTCTCTATGAGTCAGAACCAACTCCACGGCACACAGCCACCACCACCAACCAGAACTTGATTGCCAGACCTTTCTTCTTAGGTGTATCTGGGTGGACTCCAACCTCTAACCTTTCAATTAGCAGCCAAGGGTGTTAACTATTTGCATCACCCAACGATAGTTATGCAGAAATGATAGTGCATTCCCAGATGAAATCAGATTGCAATAACCAACATGTTTCCTGCTAGAATTTCATCTAAAAATAAAAAATAAAAAGCTTTGTGCTTTCTGGCTATCTCTTCCACACCGTTCCTCCTCCCAGTAAACAAGAGGAAAGGTCACTTTAAGAATGACTACTACTTACGCAAATACACCACAGGATGGAAATGGAGGCGAACACCTGGTGTCTCTGATATAAAAACACACCCTTTGTATTTTCTCAAAGTCTTCTGCTTCAGGGAGTAGGAAACCTATCCAGAGCTTCACCTCTAAGCTGCTGTGGAGGAAGGAGTGGGAGCAACAATTAAATTTGAAAGTAACATTATAAGTTATGTTGATGGAGCAAGCGGTTCAATGAGACTCTTGTATGTGTGGAAGTGTATTGGTAAAGGAAGGGGCAGGTACGGAGCCCTGGGCTCAGGGACCACCAGCTGAAGACACGTGTCTTTCATTCCAATCTGTCTTTTACTCAGGAGTTAGTAACAGTTTCCAAAAGTGTGTGACCCCCCTCCCTCACAATTGATTCTGACTCTAACCCTCCAAACATCATTGTACTTGGTGTGGAGAGTCCCGGGTTCACTCTGACTGGAAGTGGACAGCCCACTTCCCCAACAGATGTTTCATTGTAGAAAGAAATCCCCTCCACCACACGCACAAACAGCTTCATTCATTAGTGCTATTTTGAGTGGGATCCGAAGTGGCCTCATAGGAATCCAAAGAGAAGAGGAAGAAGCCCAGGGTTCCTAGAAGCAGGAAGGGTATGGAAGACGGAACCAGAGAACTGAGAGCAGAGAGAACATCTGCTTGAGGAAAGTTATCCAAGAGGCTGGGGCTCAGCCTAGTGGAAAGAAGTGAAAGACTCAGGATACCTGGAAGATTTGGGGTGGGGTTGGGAGCAGTGAGCAAGGTCTGATAGGGCAGAGCTGATGGGGTTTCTTCCAGAGGAGACACGGGTTCTGTAGGAAGAGCCTGCAATGCATATAAGGGGCCAGGTCCTGCAACACTGGAAAGAGAGGTAGGCTTTTCTTAGCTGTAAGTCAGGAGAAAGAAGGGAGGAAAGAAGAAAGATGGAAGGAAGGAGGCAGGGAAAAAGAGAAGGAGGGAAAGGGAGGAGGAAAGGAGGAAGAAAGAAAGAGAAGGCAGAAAGGAGACAGTAAAGGAGAGAAGAAAGGAGTTCATTTGTTCATTCACTTATTCCTTCAATTAAAATGTATAAAGACTCTTTGGAGATAAATCACTATAGCAAACCCTTTGGAGACTTCTCTAAATTAATTGGGATGATGAGCACTTCAAACAACAAAAACGGGTCCAGGCTAGGCCTAGGACCTCTTTAATATTAGGATTATGACTAGGGTTAGGGTTAGTGCTAAGGCTAGGATTAAGGTTTGACCTAGTTTAAGAGTTACAGTTTATTAAATTTTTTCTTAAAAATTCACTTGATATCCTCTTCATTTGAAAGTTCTGTAACTATTATGCCATCTTTTTACTTTATGGGGGTTTTTTTGTTTTGTTTTGTTTTGTTTTGGTGTTGTTGCAACCTGGTATCTCTGGTCTCCTATTTTCAGTCTTTTAAGTTTGTTTTACTTTGAATACTTTGAACTGAATTATCTGTGTTGAGTTCTGGATGATACTGTCAAGTACATTTGTCTCAGGTTTTTGTCAGATGTTGTTAGTTCTCTGTCCAAAGAACTCCCTTTAGTCTTTTTTGTAAGGGTGATCTGGGCTTTTGCAAATTATTTTCATTTCTGTTTATTTGGAAATTGACAATTTTGCTGGGTATGTGATTGATGGTTGGCAGTTGTTTTTTTCTTTCAGAGTTTTATATACATCATCCCATTGTCTTCTCATCTGCATGGTTTCTACTGAGAAATCTTTTTTGCTTCTTTTTATTGTGAATTGAGTGAAGATTTGTAGAGCAGATCATCAGTTTTACACCTAGCAAATCACACACTGTGTTTCATCTCAATGATTGCAATCCCCTCCTTGTAACAACAGTGATTCCACTTCTTCCCTGTGCTTCCTGTCTCATTCTACCCTCCTTCCCAAGCCCTCTGAACTTTGTCTCCAGGTAAATGTGGCCCTTTTGATTTTGCATCCCTCACTAAATATTGTCACTCCCACCCTCATATACTTGTCCACCACTTGGTTGAAAATTAAGTCACAAGGATGAGTACCAATCCAGACCAGAAGGTTGGCCAAGAGCCATAGTCTCAGGTTCCTCCAGTCTCTTTCTGACCAGTAAGCCCAGTCTTTTTTATATTTCTGAATTTTGTTTCACATTGTTTCCCATTCTATCTAGGACCTTCTCATGTGATCCCTTTCAGAGCAGTTGATAATGGTAGTTGGGCACCATCTAGTTCTCTTGGTCTCAGAGTCACGAAGACTATGTTCATATCTTTCATTTGTTCATTGGACTAGTTGATTCCAAACATCTTCAATTTCATCACTCTTCTTTCTCCCACACATGGAGAGACCAATAGTAACACTTTAGATGGCTGCTCATGAGCTTTTAAATCCCAGAAAAACTTACCAGAGTATCAAATCTGAGTCTTATTAGTTCTCTTTCATCCGTAACTTTTTATTTTTCCTGAGCTGCTCTCAGGATTCTTTCCTTGTCTTTGTCTTTGTCTTTGAAAAGTTTGATTCTAATTTATCCAGGAGTTTCCTTTTGGAATCTACCTTGTTTGGAGCTCATTCAACTTCTTGAATGGCTATCTTCTCATCTTTCATGATGTCAGGGAAGATTTCTTCCAATAATTCTTCAAAATTCTGTATTTTGTTTGTTTGTCTGTTGTATTTTGTCTCTTCCATTCTGGAATTCCAATCACACATAAGTTATTCCTCTTGATTGGGTCCCACATAAATCTTAAGCTTTCTTTAGATTTTTAAAATTCTTTTTTCTGATTGTTCCTCTAGCAGGTGAATGTTGAGAGATTTATCTTCAAGCTCAGTCATTTGGCCTCCCATTGATTCAATTCTACCTCTTGTCCTTTCAGTGTTCTCTATATTTCTGAATTCTTGCTATTACTCTTAATGGATTTTTCACTGCTGTTTTTGTATGGTGTCCAACTTTTCATGTCTTTTGTCACCTTATTCTTGCAATGAATTCTTTCAAAGATTCTTCTGTGGTCTTCTTGCTGTCTCAATCTGTTGAAAAGTACTTAAATACCAATCTTTTCATTCCTGATCAAGTAGTTCTGATACCTTTTCTGTTATTATATCTTCTGACTCTATATTTTGGTTACTTTTTTGAGGCATTTTGTCTTAGTTCTTCATACAAACTGAAATGGTCTGTTTTCTCAGAGACTTGTGGTGTTGTGTTTATATTAATTGATGAGTGTATGTTGTTGTGTTCTCAGGCACTCACCACCTGTCTCCTGGTGGAAAGATGGACACAGTTCTCTGTTCTGTGTAGGGTAATTCAGGGATGGCACTCCCAGACCTGACTCTGGTCCAAGTAGAGACTACAAAGGAGGGAGTGCCACAGGCCACTGCATTGGCGAGGACTGGGACTGGACATACTTTGACTACAAGAGGAAATAGCATGAATACGGGAGAACCACACCCCCCTTACTACCAGCCTCCATCTGCATCCTGTGTCCAAAGATCACTGTGTTGACAGCCCTGCACAAAAGCTCAAGATGGCCTCGCCGCCCCATGGCAGCTGACGGTCCACCCATTTTCTTCTCTCTTGTTGCTCCTATCCCCTTACCTCTTCCAGTTGGTACTCGATCCACCTCTCTGCCTTGGCCTCTGAAGCTCAGGGTTTCAGAATCACCATCTGTATCTGTTTCATTTGGTCTCCCAAGACATTGTTGCAGAGAGCCTGCTCAATGCATCTGCCTGCTTCGCCATCTTGCTCCCCCAAAATTCTCTGTTCATTATTTTAAATACTAAAAGCAGTTGATCAGAATCGCAAAAGGAAAAGCCATACCTATTTGGATAGTTTCTTATTTATGTGGCTCTTGTCTGGTTTTCCTTTTGGCTTTGGAATGGGATCCATGTGTTGTCTTTCCTGAGAACCAGCCTACAGGTGGGTGCTGGGGGCAGAAGGGTGTGTGGGGGTCCCTCTGACTTCATCTTTATGTCTAAACATTGCCAGCCTTAGGTGCTCAGTCCTGAGGAACTGTGATGATGGAGCCACTCCCGAAGGCCCTGGAGGTTGATGAACGGTCTCCAGAATCCAAGGATCTGCTACCCAGCCAGACAGCCAGCTCTCTATGCATCAGCTCCAGGAGCGAGTCTGTCTGGACCACAACCCCCAGGAGTAACTGGGAAATCTACCGTAAACCCATCATCATCATATCCGTGGGTGGTGCCATCCTGCTCTTTGGTGTGGTCATCACCTGCTTGGCCTACGTCCTGGACCTGGGGGAAAAGAGCAGGAACATCCTCAAGATGGTAGGGCCTGCCTTCCTGTCCCTGGGGCTCATGATGATGGTGTGTGGGCTGGTGTGGGTGCCTATCATCAAAAAGAAACAGAAGCAGAGACAAAAGTCTGTTTTCTTCCAGAACCTCAAGTCCTTTTTCCTGAATCGCTGATGGGGAGGCCTCTTTCTCTGTTCTCATCATCCCCCTGCCAAAAAAGATGTTCTAATGACCGACGTCCAACATCCCCATCTCTCCAGGGGAGTTTACTATATAACTGATCCAAGCAGACTCTCTCTCTTTCTGACCCTGAGGGAAAGAGAGCTCCAGGTTCCCACTCCACGTAGCCTGGGTGTGTCAACCTTAGTCTCTCAGTTCTCACTGATGCTTCCCGTAGATCCTGGCAGTGGCCATCCATTTTCATTGCTCTCATCCCTGCTAACACATCAGCATCATTCCTCTCTGTTTGCCAAGAGTTGTGCATGCTGGAAAATTCCTTAGGGATGGACAATGCCCCGAGGAGGACCTCATGTTTACATGTCTGAGCTCCTGAGCAGGACAGCTGGATTCCACATCATGTCCTTCTAGAACCAAAACTCAGCAGAGGAGGACCTTCAGAGAAAAGTGGAAGGAATGCTGAGTTCATCTCATTGGGTTTGAGAACCCAACTCCTGGATGGAGTGAGACACTGACTTGCATTTCAAGAGACAAGACAAATCACAAGTACCAAACATTCCAAAGACTGAACAGTGAAGGAGGAGTGGGGGAAAACACTGGGGCACAGACCACTGGACCTGACTCTGGAAATTGATTAACCAAGAAGGTTTGATTTCCAATTATATAAGTATTTACACTTTAGGCAGTAGGGTAGGCTAGGGGATGCCACAATTTCCCCTTGATGTAGCCCATTCCCATTTACTCCTCTGGTCTCTGAACTTATCAATTAGCCAAGGATAATGCATGCTGCCCTAACTTTCTCTTCCCCCTACCAATTCTAGAAGAGAAAGATGCAGCGCTGCGGGAGAATGCTATAGTATCCTTCTCCGTTTTATCTTCATTGAGAATCAAAACTGAGCAGAGGAAAGTCCACATCCAGTGCTTTATCCACTGCAGCAATATCAGGAGTTCTTCAGAGGAAAGAGAGTGGGCTAAAATTGGGAATTACACAGATACTTCTCCAATCTCCCTACCGTATTGTATCACCCCCTCTCTTGGTTTTTGTACCACTTGCTTTTCCAAGTGCCTTATATGGGGGCACATTGGGGGCCTCTTGGGGGTCTGTGGTTGAGACCGGAAATGAGTTGGTTCCCAGGTACTGGTTCCCAGTACCATCTAGAGCGCAACAGTGAGGCCTACTGTAACGAGCAACCAATGGGCCCGTGAATGAAAGATCAGAACATGGTCCTTGTGAGAGAACTACTCATACTGCTCTGGACCAGGCCAGTGGTCCCAGTGAAAAGAGTATGGTAATGAAATTTGAAGTGATTCTGTTAGCTTGACTCCTCGTCTTCGGGGTCTACCACATGGGTCACCATGTCAACCTTTCTCTCACAGGCCTCCATGTTTCTCTACCCTTCACAGATGAGTTCCACTTGAAGAGTCAGAACCCAACCTTGTTTCCGCTGCATTGTGGGAAATTCCAGGTGGTAGGTCTTGAGACAGGTATCTTGTGTGTCACTGGAGACACCTCCCACCCCACCCACCCAAGTAACCAGAGAGCTCCTCAGAGTTTGGAGAGCTCTGTGACCTTTGAGGCTCACCCAGACAGTCCCTGAATGTGACCTGTCTTCTTGTCCATCAGTTCCCTGCACACTGGTGGGTCAGGCCCAGTGGTGGAGATGTTGCGAGCACTTTGTCACTAATTATAGTTTCAGTGCCTCGAGTGATAAGGCTTGCAGATCATCTCGCTTTCTTGACACCATCACGTAGATGCAGGATTGGCCATACAGTATCACCCTCACAATAAATGGGTGGAGATTACAGCTAGTTCCCTGAGTATCCTGCACTCCCTAAGTCTCAGTAACTGCCTGAAGAGAGTTTACAGTCTGGACACACTTGTGGGAGAAGGGCCCGTGTTGGGGCAACCACTTGCTAGCCAAGTTCTGGATTCATCCTGTAGCCACCTGCAGTACCTACAACATCCCTGCTCCCTGAGGGAAAGACTATGAAAAAAGATGCTGAGCATCATGCATCCCCACTGGGAACCTCCACACAGGTGTGTGCCTGGGAGCATACCAGCGTCACTCTGAGACAGAAGAGCATGGGCCACGGCAGCCTGAGGTAGAGGTGTGCCCAATCTGTGAATGCAACCCAGGTTCGAGGCCACATTTCTGGAAAAGGCAATCACCTGATAGGAACTCTTTTATATATGTGGACTGGAAGATGGGACCAGCATCCAAATTTCCTGCTACCTGGATTGTATTACCTTACCCATAGCTACTCTGTTTGGGGAAGATCGGTTTAATCGGGGGGCTTACAGAAATTTGTGTAATGTTGCATTGTATTATACTTAACAGCTCTGCTGTGTTTTCATTCTGTTGCATCAGGAACTCCAAGACTGCATCTGCTAATTCACTCCTTTAAAATGCCTCGTTTTGTCTTGCTCCCCAGAGTGCTGCCTGGGAGAAAGGGAGCAATGTGGGTTTCCTGTGTGGCTCCTTGATCCCTCCTAGGAGCTGGTGGTCTTACTCTGAGATGCTCATGGGGGCAGAATACAGTCACAGGAAGGACAGATTCCAACCACCATTGACCCTCTCCATCCCAGAAGCCCAGTATCTAAATAGGAGATATGGAAAAAGAATATTCAAGAAACCAATTAGTGGTCCAAGGTGGGATAGGAAGACACTTTAGGCTCAGCCTGCCAATCAGTGCTCCAGGAACTAAGGAGTAAGCAAAAGGTTGGCAGTTCACTCCCCAGCACTTCTTGGCTTCTTTCTGATTTCTAAGCCCTTTGTTCTTCCTCCTGGCCCAGTTTCTTCTGAATCTCTAGGTCTTCAATGCTATCTATCCTCTACTTGGTTCTCCAGAAGACTCACATATTCTTGACTTTCTGCTGCCTCTAGCCTATCCTGTCCCTATAAGAAAATGAAAGGATGGTGCTGAGTTTGGAGAGAGAGAAAGCCAGCTTTCAATGAGCCACACCCAACCCATGGCAACTCCATGGATGTGAGAGTAGTGTTGTGTTCTATAAGGTTTTTAGTGGCTGATTTTACAGAAGCAGATCACCAGACCTATCTTCTGAGGACATGAACCTCCAACCTTGAGGTCAGTGGTCATGTGGATTAACTGCTTGTGCCACCCAGGGACTATCTGTATAGAGCACGGAACATGTTCTTCCTTGTTCAACTCTTGCAGTATTATCAAAGAATCATGACCCATCCCTTCCAGTACCACAGACACATTCCTTCCTCACTAATCTCCATCCCTAGAAGATCAGAGGGTCCTAAAACCTAATACTCAGACCTCAAATGTCTGCTATTGAATGTGTGCAAGAGAATTATCTGAGGTTGTACCTGGTGAGGCCATTGGGTACCACCAAATGGATGCCATGGAGACCTTGGGGTAGAAGGAGAAGAAGGAAGTAGGTGAGGAGCAGTTAAGAAAGGAGGGGAGAGGAGGGAGTAGGCAATGGGCAGCCAGCAGGGAGGCATTCTGGGTGAAGTCTGAAAAGCAGAGGAAGGCCCAGTCTGGAAGTAATTCACACACATTGTGTACAAATTACCAGGCAAGATCTGATCAAAGTACTTTAAGGATTAGCTCATTCAGTCCTTTCCAACAACTCTATTTTTACTATCATCCCCATTGACAGGTGAGATAAGTGAAGCAGATAAGGGACTTCCAGCTAGGAAGTGAAGGAGCTGGGATTGAAATGTAGGTGATCTGGCTCTAGAGCCCAGACCCACAACTCCCACCCACTGTAGCAGGAGGCACCAGGTGTCATCATGGCGGGCTCAGGATGGAAGGTGGAAAAAGTGGAAGCAAAGTTAGCATCACTGGGCAAACAGAGAAAGAAGACCAAGCAGGGCAGAGGTCCCCTTCCTGGCCAGGAGCCACCAGACAGTGAGGAACACTGCACTCTGAGCACCCCCATGTAAGACACACCAAGCTGGGTACCTTCACTTCATCTTCTTTCCCATCTATCCTTGTGACACATTGTATAGAGGAGTCAACAGGCACAGCAGAGGTAGTTACTTGCCCGGGTCTGGCAGCCCATAAGCACAAACCAGAGGCTTAAACCCAAAGCTTCCCCCAGATTCACTGTTCTCATCCTCTGATCTCCTATCCCATGGACAGCAGGCTGTATCCCAAATGGATGCTCAGAAGGTAAAGTGGAGACCTCCACCCATCAGTCTGTGGGGATGCTGCCACACAGGGTGATCTTGGTACATCTGCCCTTGGTCCCACAGGACAGGCTTCCTCACCCTGATCAGCAGGAGGACCTGGAACGTGGTAGAGTTGGTCCTTTTTCTGGTTGGCCCTCTACCAGCCTTCTATTAGTGATCACTCCAGTTACATCAAGTTACATCATAGGCCAAGTCTATAACTCTTTAAAAAACTCAAGACCACCACCCATAGGGAATGAACCAAAAGTGCAGTCAAGATCCAAGACTATGTCTTAAGAGCAGAGATGGAGAAGTTCAAGTGTTTCCAAAGGACAAGGGATTGATGTGCTATCCGCTCCATCACCCAGTCTCAAGACTAGAGAGGAGTCTCTGGAGGGTCATGGGCTCAAACCCTCCACATGCAGGGTTTGTGAGAGCATCCATTTTCAATTCAATTGGGTGAACATACAGTAGCATAAAGCCTGGATCATACAGAAAGACTAAGGTCTCCCTGATCCTACTAAACAGGATGCTGGTGAGTAGGTTCAACACAAAAACACAAACCAGAAAATCACTCATTCAGGTTCTTCCTCCATAACCCACCCTGCAGTCCAGAGCCTGTGCTCTCGACACCTGCTGGGAATGCTTGGGTTTTATCTGAGGCTTCCTCCTCTGCATATCTGGACACAGTGCTGGGGCCATGCCCAGCCCACACCAGACCAGTCAGTTCCCCCAGGTCTTCAGTGCTAGGACCCCTGCATCTGAGGGACCATGTTTGCTTCTACTGGGACCCAGGTGCAGGAAGGAGAGACCCCAAGCCATCACTGGTTCACATCTCCAACTCCAAGGAGG